GTGACCACAGTAATGTGATAAGTGAGTGTGTGACCACAGAGAGCATTTCCTTACCTGCGGAAATCCTGATACTGCAACTTGTTTTCTCCTTTCTTTCCAAAGAAGTAGGCCTGCAGCGTCGTGTTCACACCTTCCCCTTCTTCCACTGGAGTCTGTAAACATCCAAGAGATGTGCAACAATATCATCTATTGTCTATTAAAACATTACAATTATTAAATCATGCTAAGCTGTCTTTTTAAGTGAATGTGAGTACCCACCTCTGTGCTGTCCTTAGGAACTCTCATTTTACTTTTTCCAAGGATTTTCTTCAGCTTCCAAAGCAAAAAATAAATATTAAAAAGAATTAATATTTCACCAGATACATTTTAAAAATGACTTTCTGCATTGGATTATTTTAAATATCAAAATGTGAATATACATCTCTCTTCTCTGAACTATCACATAAAATGAACAAAAAGAGGACTACTTTACTGATCAGACCAGAGACAGAGCCAAACCATCATCTGAGTCACACACAAACAATGGAGCAGATGAGAATGCATGCACTTTTACTCTTTATTTATTAAACACTTGAGGCGTGTGCACCAAGTCACAACATGAAAATATGACACAAGGTGCATACGTGCCAACATGCAAACTACTACTAGCCCAGGCCTGATGTAGACTACGCACACAGAGGTCTTTCTCCTGTCCTGGTTGGAACGGACACAAAAATGTCAAGTGACTTTACATAAATGGAATACACTGAGGCGCTGACTCAGGCTGCAGAGATGCAAACACATGACGGATGGAAAACAGAACAGTAGCTAACAGTGCAGCTCTCCCTCACCTTCACATGGAGCCATGGTCCATACTTACCACTGTGGTAGCATCAGGGCTTGACGCAGCATTAAAGATGGCAATATTGTGACATTTATATGCACACAGACATTTGAACAAACAGAATGACAACTCTCTCACACAATGTGTCCTCCCTTTAGATTACATATAAAACAATCTTATGTTCCAAATTAAAGAGCCCGACCGATATGTTGGCCTGCCGATAATACTGCCAGATATTGGCCTATTGCAAACATATCGGCATCATTGTATATATTATCTGATATGCGCTCATAACTGTTTTTTCCCGTATATCACGCAGA